ACGTTGAGTACTCCTGCTACATCAACACCCATCCCAACTACTACAAGCACGTTTCCAACAATCATCACAAAAACCCCACTGCCTCCGACTTCAGAACCATTAAGTAATTCTCTTTCTTTGTTTTAATTTATTGCTTTTGTATGGGAGAATTCAGCGTTCATTGGTAGCTTAATACATGTCTTAATTTTCTCACTCTGAGGTAGTGCAGTTTTTGTCTATTTAAAAAATAGTCATTGAATCACAGAATATTTTTTTTAGTGAAGGAACCTTTTAAATGCTTTAGTCCAACTCCCTGCTCTGGGCAGTTTCATCTTTTCATCTACCAGGTTGCTCAAGGTCCCATTTAATCTGACCTTTAACACTTCTAGTGGCTGGACATCGATAATATTGTAAAACCTGTTCCAAGATCTCACCACCCTCTTCACAAAAACATTCTTCCTTATGTCAAATATAAACCTACCTTTTCTCAGTTTAATCCCATTTCCCCTGACCTGTAACTATAGACCATGGTAAAATTTGTCTCTCTGTCTTTCTTAGAAAGCCTCTCTTATAAGCCTTTCTGAAGAACCACAATAAGGTCTCTCCAGAGTCTTCTCTTCTCCTGGCTGAACACCACCATCTCTTTCAGCCTCTCTTCCTAAGGGATATGTTCTATCCTTCCCATCATTACTGTGGACTACCTCTGGACTTGCTCAGTTTCATGCCTTTCTTGTGCTGCGAACCCTAGAGCTGGATGTAGAAATTCAAGTGGGGTCTCACAGGAGTCAATTAGAGTGGATCCTGTACTGAGCTCTTTGTTTAAGAGGGAGAATGCACATACTGCTGGTACTCCAATCCATTCCTTTGGTTGTTAGGAACATTAAGAGGTTTTTCATCTGGGTACCTCTGCCCAGCTTAGACATGCTGAACTGATGGGAAGTCTTGCTTTGGCTGCTCTTGTCTCTCATCTTTCAGCTGGAGAGAATGGACTCAGTGGGACCTGGGGTTTAGGCAGCAGTGTGTGTCCTGTGCCTGCTTCCTTTGTGGCGATGAGCCTTCCTGGTGCTTGGTTTCTCCAGCTTCCCCCACAATGTTGAGGAGCAAGCTGACATTTTGACAGCAATGTGAGACCCCCAAACATCCCATGAATCTGCCTCTGTGACAGTACACCATCTGTTCCTCTATTTCCTCGTGAACATGAAGGAGTTTGCCTGTTTTCACCCAAATGTGAATTAATTTTACTTAAGGACTGTCCTTGTGGACTGTGTGGGTAGAAGCAGTGTATCTTAATTCCTCCTATCCTCCAGCTCTATGACTGCATTCTTATTATGTATGCTATGCTTCTCTTTCTACCATGTGTCTCTTACATCATATTGCAAAATCACAAACAGATGGCTCTGAGGCTGGCCTCTGAGTATCATGAACAATTTGTAAAATGCTAATCAAAACCCATTTCAAAGGAGCCTGCAGTAGAGTTTGTTATGAAAACTGGCTTGATCATGTGAGAATGATAAAGCAGAAAAGTTCCTAGCATTCCCAAATAGCTTGTGGGCGAGTAGTCTTAAAGGCCTGGGAGTCAGATATGGAAGATAGATTGCTCCAGCAACTGCTGAGTTGCAGTAGAATCAAGTAACTCTGAGCATAATCAGTGCTGGTATAAGATGCCACATGAAGTAGCACAGAGAAGAGTGGTCTATCCATAGAACATAGCATGACAGCAATAGAGAATTAACCAAAGAGTTCACTGATCAACTCAATGAATTCCCCAGCATTTAGGACTCCTGAATGCTTCTCTGCAGCATAAAGTTTTAACACTACAGACAGCAGTTGCATCCAACTTTGATCATTGATGAAGTGTTTATGTCAATGTTTCCCATTCAAGATTTAGGAGATTTGCTCTGTTATGGAAAAGTCATTAATAAAAGAGTTTCAGATTTATTCCTGTCAAAATACTCTGTGCTTAGGTTTGTTGAAATTCATTTGCTTATTAGAAAATAAAGTGAAGTTAATAACAAATGCAATTTGCCTACTAAATAAAAACCTGTTTCTTCCCTATCTTAAAGGGGAAACAACAACTGAACCAGTTACACTGACAAAAACAAGTACTACAGTTACACCTTCAGCTACCCCACTGCCAACAACAAGAACGACAGAAAGTACAGGGTCTACTATAGGTACCACTATTCACCAGTCAACATCATCAGTATCAACCAGCCCAGCAACAGTCACCACCTCTGGAGTCACTGAAACAGAATCAACCACCAAAACCACCACTTCAGGCCCCACACCCTCACAACCCACTCCCCATGGCACCACAACAAGAATGGAAACACCTAGCCACGAGACCACTACCACTGGGACTGTGAGCCCTCCAACAGCATCACCTAACATCAGCACCACAACCTCAAGACCATCCTCCACAGAGCCTACAATCAGCACTACTGTATCACTACCAACAGTATCAACCAGCCCCATGTCAGCCACTACCTCTGGTACAACTCCAACAGAATCTTTCACCACCACTTCAGGAACAACCTCTAGTAGTTTTACCACAGTCACCGCAACCACCACCAGCACCACTTCTGAAATAGTTACTCCTGGCTCAACTAGTACTTCTGTGCCAACTACAACATCAAGTGCAGTCACCACTACAGGAAGTTCTACATATAGTACAGTTACTCCACTCAGTACTTCAAGTTCAACTACAAGTCCCCCACCAACCACTCCTGGAAGAAATTGTTCTATTTTCCCAAATGAATCTTACGCGGTGAGTGGAGTTCATGGTTTTTTTAGCATTCTTTCTGAATGGGGTCTAGGCACACCGTTTCAGTGTTACAACCATACAAAGCAGGTATTAATCTGGATAGAAAATGAAGTATCAGTCCTTTTATTTCTTTCTTTTTTTTTTCAGATATCAGCATAATTTCCAATGGTATTCTGTTTGATAGCTTATATATTGCTGTTAGTTCTTCAAGGATAGTTTTGACAAAGCGTTCTTCAAGTAGTTAGATCACAGCTCAGTGTTTCTCATTACTGTAGGATAGCTTTGATGAGGAGGTAACCAAGGACTAAGTGATGCTAAACTATCTTTTCTTTTTCTGCTTTTTGATAGTTCTAGAGTGGGGAAAATATGTTTGTAAGTTTACAGCACAACCCAGCAAGAAGCCACAGGGCCGAACTAGTCTGAGTTTGGAATGAAGTGTAGTTGCTTATAGTCGGGTTTCAAGAGAGGACTGTGAAACAGATCACCACATTCAAATGCTCTTGAAATTTGACTCTAAGTTCTGAATTTTTTGGACCCCTCCACCACTGACATAGACAAGCTAATGTCTTTTACATTTCTAAAGCCTCCTCATGGCTTATATGTCTATCAACTTGCTCAGTAGACCTGCGAGGATAAAAATTCTATATGGCTGAAAACCTGGTGGAAGATAGAAAAAATGCATACAATCACAATGTATGCATGTAATCACCTTACACATTACTCCCCAAATAGCTGGTGTCCATTGTAGTTTTAGTTGTTAATCGGTTCTAGGCATTCATGGAAAGGGATTGATCACACATTGGTCACTGATATTGATCAGTGTCTTTCACTGTTGATTTGAGAGAGAGTCTAGGTGATAAGATTAGATCAGATACCTAACTTTTAGACAGCTGAAACTAAAAAAGGCAATTCCCACTTAGGGTACTTGCTTACCTTTATAAATATTGCTTTTCAGTTAACAGTACTCAGTAGTGCCAGCTCATCTTGCAGGCCTTGATGGTGTTGACTGATGCACTTCCTTCCCATTTTCATACTTCTGGTGGTCAATAAATATATGACGTTTTAAAACTCTGCAAAAAGATATTCGAGCATAACTGTTGTCAGTCTGACTGCTTTGTAATGTTTCTCTCTCTCTTCTCCCTCCCTCTCTTTTCAAACACAGCCAGGTGATTCATGGTGGCTCTGTAACTGCACTATGGCAATATGTATAGAAGACAATATAGTTCAGGTGGTTCCCGTAATCTGTAATCCACCTCCTAAGCCTACATGTGCCAATGGGCTTTCTCCTGTGCAAGTCATTGATGAGGATGGATGCTGTTGGCACTGGGAGTGTGATTGTAAGTATATATTTTGTTAAATATTTTCTCTCTTGTGGGAACAATGCTAGTGTCAAAAGCAACAATATTTATCACAAGTTGATAAAAGTTGTGACTCACTGAGACTCTCAGACTTCTAGTTTTGGTCTGTTTGGAGTGCTTCACTGATTCTTTTTAGCTAATTGGGGGCTTTTACCTGATTTGGCATTATTTCTACATAACTATTGCATTAGAATAAATTGGTCTCCCTAGGCAGGATTTAAATGTCCAGATGCAGACATCTATAAGCTAGAAGCCTACATATAAATTATTTTTTCAGACTATTGATAAAGGTATATCTAGGATGCAGTTAATCCTATTCTCAGTTGTCTATCAGAAATAATTCTAGATAATAAACTCATGCATTGATATATACACTTTAAAAATTTAAATGTTTGAAGTTAGATGAGATGAATCCCACACCTACACATTTAGTTTGTAGTCTGATCTGATTCTGTATGTTGCCATAAGAAGCTAACCTAGTTTTATGTTTCTGTAGGCTACTGCACTGGCTGGGGAGACCCACATTACATGACTTTTGATGGATTGTACTACAGCTACCAAGGGAACTGTACATACGTTCTTGTGGAAGAGATTTCTAAGAAAGTGGACAACTTTGGTGTCTACATTGATAACTACCATTGTGATACACGGGATGTAGTCTCCTGTCCTCGGACGCTCATTGTGAGACATGAGACTCAGGAAGTGCGCATAGCGACAGTCAAGCCAAATACTCTACAAGTAGAGGTATTGGAGAATGATACCTTTGATTTCTTGATTAAAATATTAATACAGCATCAACCTGATTATTATATCCACAATATTAGAAAAAAAAAATTTAAAAGGAATGTGTGTTTTAGATTTAATTCCAGTTTGGATTATAAAATAGGACTGCCTTGAAGGACTGCGTTTTTGACTCTGAACATAGGGAAAAATTTCTACAACTTCTTCCCTTTTTTATCTCAAATATTTGCAGTGCCTTATCTCTCCTAAATACCTAAATGTGAACAAACTGCTAAGAGTTAAGGATATAAAATAAATTAATTAATAATTAATATTTATGTAACAGAGGAAAATAATAAATTTTGAATGGGAAGATACAACATAAACTAGACATAACTATAAAGTACTGAGCTTAAACATTTTTTAGAAGTGTCATTACTAGCTTTGATTGGTGCCGCCTTTTCTGAATAGGGTCTCTTATGTGTCTATTTCACTGATAAACATGATGACCCAGCTTTGGGTCTTTGAAATTGGGCAAGAAGTGTCTGGCTTTAGGCTTTTGTGGAGCTTGTTTCATTTATTTTTGTACACTAATGTGTGGGAATATTACAGGTTAGGTTGTAATATATTGTTGAAAATTTGCAGCATCTAGACCTCTTTTTTTTCTCCAAAGCAAGGAAATCTACCATTGCTGAGTAAAAGCAGTAGCGTTAGTTCCATAAGTATATCCTGGCTACTGCATTAAAATAAATAATACAGATTTTGGCTTATTTCTTTCATTTAATTTTCCTACAAGTATGTTCCCTTTATGCCAAGAAAGTTAAAACTGTATGCACTAGGAATTTAGGAGAATTTCATATTGCATTTTTACAGGATGTTCCCAGTGCCATAGTCCCTCTAATAAATTTTTTGAGTGCTAGAATTTAGCTGGTTTAAACTCTGTATTTTAGTCTAGTTTATTAGTGGCTGAAGTGCCTTTTCTTTGGCTTGGAGAAGAAAAGTTCAACTTTCTAGTAACGCAAAAGGAAACACGGGGACACTTTACAAACTAAAAGCACAATTTTGTCTTTAGGTTCTATCTCCAAAGTAATGAACAGTCAATTGTTTTCTAAAGTCAAACTAAATATATGTCTCTTTTCTGTTTTCTGTTATTTCTTAGGTGACAGTAAACAAACAGCCAGTGGCTTTGCCTTATAAAAAATTTGGCCTGAGCATCTATGAGTCAGGCATAAATCGTGTAGTGGAAATTCCTGAACTAAAGATGAATGTAACCTACAATGGCTTGTCCTTTTCTATCAGAATGCCCTACAGCCTATTTGGCAACAACACTCAGGGACAGTGTGGTAAGGCTTACTCTTGTAATTTTTGTACTCTCAGAAAACTGCAATCAGATAAATGACAGCCCTGCCACAAAGATGAATGAAATTTGATAATGAATCTGTGAGTGATTACTTTCTCCCCAATTTTAGGTACTTGCAATAACAACACAGCAGATGATTGCATGTTGCCGAATGGAAACATTGCAGAAAACTGTGAAACCATGGCAGATCATTGGCAAGTTGTTGATCCCTCCAAACCACAATGCTCTCCAGGCCTAATTCCTACAAAAGTACCTAGCACAACTCCAGTGCAGCCTTGCAAAGAGTCTTCCATCTGTGAACTTCTTCTGGGAAGGTAGACATTCCTTTGGGGTTTACAAGCCTTTGATCTTCAAATTAAGTAGCAATTTTAGGATTAATTTCTCAGTAAAAAGTGTTTATAACTATTGCTCCATTTCTTATAGCTTGGGTTGCTTCCATTCGTTTTACTGTTTCTAGATGTCATTCTTAGCAGATTGTTTGCTTTCAAAGCTCTGGCTGCTACATCAACCTTTCTTAATGTTCTCTTCTGTTAGAAGAAAACAGAGTCCAACTGAAAACAAATCTTCAGTTTTAGAACATCATGTCAGAATTTAAAAAGCAAAAGATCTAACAAAATCTCATTAGAAAAGTAGTTAATAGTTATTAATATTCATGTCGCTCCTGGATGGAAAATATTGGTGCCTGAATGTTTTGTACATTAGGAGGGAATACTTTAACATATGTTGAAAGGTTACAATCTAGATAAGTGCTCTTGGTAAAAATCTCTCAGTAATAGTGCTTGTTCACATCTTCTTAAGCACGACTGTTGGCGCATTATATTAAGAACATTGAAGAATTGATGGATCACTCAGTGACTGATAATGATAAATGTTTCTGTTTCTAGTGTGTTCAAGCCATGCCATGGTTTTGTCCGTCCTGAGAAGTACTATGCAGCCTGTGTTTTTGATAGTTGTGTACTTCCCAACTTAGACTTGGAATGCTCAAGTCTGCAAATCTATGCTGCCACCTGCACTGATCAGGGTGTATGCATTGACTGGAGAAGTCATACCAATGGCATTTGCTGTAAGTATTTGACCATCAGTTCAAGAAGGACAGAGAATTGCTTGAAAGAGTCCAGCAGAGCCACAAAGATGATGGAGGGAGTGGAGCATCTCCCTTATGAGGAGCGGCTGAGGGAGCTGGGGCTCTTCAGCTTGGAGTAGAGGAGACTGAGGGATGCCCTCATACATGTTTATAAATATAGCAAGGGCGAGTGTCAGGAGGAAGGAGCCAGGCTCTTCCCAGTGATGTCAAATGCCAGGACAAGGGGCAATGGGAGCAAGCTGGAGCATAGGAGGTTCAATCGAAACATGAGGAAAAACTTTTTCACTGTGAGGGTGACAGAGCATGGCCCAGGCTGCCCAGAGAGGTTGTGGAGTCTCCTTCTCTGCAGACATTCAAAACCCGCCTGGACACGTTCCTGTGCAATCAAATCTAGGCGATCCTGCTCTGGCAGGGGGGTTGGACTGGATGAGCTTTCGAGGTCCCTTCCAACTCCTAAGATTCTGTGATTCTGTGATCTATTTTGAACTATTAGAGAAGCTGTCATGGTTTAAGCCCAATGGGCAACTGGGAACCATGATGCCCACAAAAGGGGATTAGATGAAATAAGGACTGGGAGGGTTGTTTCTTTCTCACTACTTATGGTGCACAGGCAAAAGGCAGACACATCTTGGGAAAAACAAAACAAAACCAAAACAAAAAACAGAAACAACTTAATTTTGTTACCAGCAACGTTAGAGTAGAACATTGAGAGATATAACAAGATCTTAAAGTCAAACATCTTCCCCCACACCTCCCTTCTTCCCAGGCTCAGCTTTGTTACTCATTTTCTTTAGCTCCCCCTTTCCCCCTGCCGTGCATTGCCCAGTGGTGCAGGGGGATAGGAAGGGGGGTTGCAGTATACAACCTAACCATCCCCTGGTGCAACTTGAGGCCGTTTCATCTCATCTCTATGCTAGTTACTTGGAAGAAGAGTGCCACTTTGCTACAACCTCCTTTCAGGTAGTTGTAGAGAACAATAAGGTCTCCCCTCAGCCTCCTCTTCTCCAGACTAAACAATTCCAGTTTCCTCAGCTGCTCCTTGTAATATTTGTGCTCTAGACCCTTCACCAGTTTTGTTGTTCTTTTGTGTACAAGCTGAAGTGCCTCAATGTCCTTCTTGTAGTGAGGGGCCCAAAATCTAACATAGTAATCAAGGCCTCACCAGTGGCACTATCACTTCCCTACTCCTGCTGACCATACTATTTCTGACACAAGCCAGGATGCCATTGGCCTTCCTGGCCACCTGGGCACACTGCTGGTTCATGTTCAGTTGGCTGTCAACCAGAACCCACAGGTCCTCTTCTGCCTGGCAGCTTTCCATCCACTCATTCCCAAGCCTGTAGCATTGCACGGGGTTGCTGTGACCGAAGTGCAGGACCCAGCACTTGGCCTTGTTAAACCTCATACAGTTGACCTCAGCCCATTGATCCAGCCTGTCCAGGTCCCTCTGTAGAACCTTCCTACCAGATCAAAACTCCCACCCAGTTTGGTGTCCTCTGCAAACTTGCTGAGGGAGCACTCGATCCTGTCATTCAGACATTGAAAAAGATTTTAAATGAGTCTGGCCCCAAAACTGAGCCCTGGGGAACACTGCTTGTAACCGGCGACCAACTGGATTTAATTCCATTCACCACAACTCTCTGTGCTCAGCCATCCAGTCAGTTTTTAACTCAGTGAAGAGTAAACCTGTCTAAGCCTTGAGCTGACAGCTTCTCAAGGAGAATGGAATACACTCCTCTTTGAGAACTTGTGCAACAAGAGTGAAATTACAAAAAATGTTATAATTGAGATGTAAACTCTTGGCTTTATCTCCTTAATGGAAAGTACGGTGCTATGTCTCTATGGCTAAATTGCATAAAATAATTCCGTTCAGAAACATGAGTCTGACATCTGGTTTGATTTTTTTTCTCTTTGCTTCTCAAGATTGTCAAAGATACATAGGAAAATGAGTAGTCAGTGTTTAATTTCTTGGCATAATGTTATGGGGCTTTTATATGATAGTTGTTTCTGAGCTCTTCTTCCTTTTTATTCTCCCATTCCAGCTTATAAATGCCCCTCAGATAAAGAATACAGAGCATGTGGTCCTATTAAAGAGAGAACCTGCAAATCAAGGTAAAGAATTCCTTCACTGTTGGTTATAGCTCATACATGCGGTCATATGAAATGCATAGGTGGATGAGAGAAATCAGTCTCCTGTCATGTCTTAAATTGACTGTCAGTTTTGGCACCACTGTTCTCTTGATCCTAAATCTGGATGGCTATACTGTTTATGTTGTTTGGCTGTAGCAAACATGAACATTGACAATGCCAAAATTGCAAATGTGCAGATCTTTTGCCACCGTATCTTCAGTGAAACGTTATTTGGCATAATATTCCTCTGTATGCCTCTGACAGTAATGATTATCCTCTGAAAATTTTGTCTCATACAGTCAACAGAATGAAACTTCAACTGGACAAGTGGAAGGCTGTTTCTGTCCTAATGGAACAATGCCATATGACTCTGGTGTGGATGTCTGTGTGGAAACATGTGGTGAGTTTTTCCACTTCAGTTGGATGCATGTTAGTTTCCTCTTTGCTGTTTCCTTCTCATGTACGCAACATAGCTCTGTGTAATACATAGTATGCAGTACTCATACAACATACAGTACAGACGTCTACTGTTATATAAGTGGTAATTGAAATTTATTTTTATATTTTCACAGGCTGTGTTGGAGTGGATAAGATACCAAGAGAGGTATGCTGCCATATGCTGTTGTATTTCAAGTAGAGGCTGAGGGTGAGGAGACAAGAGTGGTCTCCACTGCTGCAGTCTTGTTTTGCAGTCTCCCAACTTTTCTTTCCTGTTTTTATTTCTGTTCTTTTTATTTGGTAACCATGCAATCGCTCACTTTATTTTCTTTAATGACAGTTTGGGGAAAAGTTTACAGTAGACTGTCAGGACTGTATTTGCCTGGAAGGTGGAAGTGGCATTGTGTGTGAGCCTCATGAATGTGCCGAACAAAGTAAGACCAGTTGTGATGGAGAAGGCTTCTATGAGGTCAATGAAGTCAATTCTGAAGACTCCTGTTGTCCCATTGTCACCTGCAGTGAGTTTATACATTCATTTCTAGTCTTTCTATACCTTTTATGAGTAGAAAGGAAAAGAAAACTGAACTAGTTTAGCACCAGAGACCTGCAGCAGAAAGTCACAAAATAATATCTTTCTTCATGCTTTTTAAAAATAACTTGCCCAGTGGTACAGAATGTATGTTTCAATAATGCAATACTGAATTTCAAATTATGTGGCCCAACGTAACAGAATCTATAGTTCTTGAGTTCAGGACCACAATTTATTCAAGTAAAATGCAGCTAGATTATGGATTTCTAGGTGGGTTTTAAGTTTCTGGCAGTTGCCTACAACCTTGGGGAGAGTGCCAGTTGTCCACTACTTCTCTGCAAAGAATTATGACACATGTTTAACACTTGCTAATTACATAGTAGAAAAAGTTTTGTAAACTAGTGCAGTCGCTCAATCCAGTGCCTATATGCACTAGGAAAAATGTGTTTTCTTTCTGCAGTTTGTTTCTTTGGAGAGGATCTGGACTATTTCCTAGCAATGGAAAGTCTACCCTAAATGCTTTGATAGATGCCTGTTTCTACTAGCCACGATTTAGTGTATTTTCTGGCTTATTCCTTTTTTTTTTCCCCAGAATGCAATACAAGCTTGTGCACAACTAAAGCCCCCAAGTGTACACTGGGATTTGAAGTTCATTCCCACATCCCCAGTGGTCAGTGCTGTCCTGTGTACCAGTGTGGTAAGTCCGTTGGAAATATATTAAAATTATTAGCATTACATATTATGTAATTTAGCATCACACTTAGTAAGACTGTATGAATTAGCTTATTGAAAGAGGTAATAAACAAAATCAGACTCTACTAATTGGTTACTATTGACATTGGTTACTACTGCTATGGTTATGATGAACAACTAAGAAATCAGATACAGCTCTAGTGGCTCGAGTTCAGTTATCCTGGTTGTAAGCATATGTGTAAGAATGGCTACAGAATTAACTGGAACTGTGGTCTCAGGTTAATCTAGCAAAATGTCCCTGTAAGCATTTCCAGTAGAAGATAACTTTACAAAGACTGCTTTGTTCTTGCTAACTGAAACAAGGAACTACTTGTACGTGTTAAGTGGACATTCTTGGCTATGAACCGGACTGTGCATATTGGGCCAAATCTTCCTCCCTTTTTGCACGTGCAGTATTTGTTCTTATGCTTTATATATGTCATACATGCTACCAGAAGTGGGGAATAATTGATATATTTGACCATGTGCATTGTGATTCATTGTGGAAGAAATGAGTTTGACTGGAGTGGGGTGAAGAACTTTTTTTCCCCTCTGTGTAACCACCTAAATTCTTGCTTGTTAACAGTTCCCAAGAGGGTCTGTGTATATCAGAATGCTGAGTTCTTGGTAAGTTCCTATTTCAACAGTCTTCTGAAAATGCTTAAAAGACCAGTTAGCATACTTTATCAGAAGTGCTATGAGGACATTTATCTAGTACAATCAGTATTTTAGAAAATTCCAGGTTCCTCTCAGGAGTTTTCACAAAGCCTAAATATTTTCTGAAAATGTTGCTGTGTATGAAGAGACTGAATTGTTGTTTGCATGTCAGTATCAGAGAGAGATTTGGGTTTAGAGTTAAGTGTGAATGCATTTTTAAGTCAGTCCACATTTACTATCAGCACATTATTGCAGTTTTAAGACTGTGTTTTCAAAAATGAAAATACATAGGACTTTAATGAAGACACATGTTAAATTAAATTCAGTATTTAAGATGTTGTCTTCATAAGTGGCTAGCCAAATAGCTACCCAATATTATTTATGGTTGTTTCCTTCTTCATTGCTTGGTTTACTGATCGTGTTAAAATTAAAAAATGTCTGTCACACATATCTCATTAATATATGACCCTTTTTTTTTTCCTTAAAATTTATAGCCTAATTCCTCGGTCTTTGTTGATAAGTGTCAGAATTGTTTCTGCACTAATGAAGTTAATGTCACCACTCAGCTGAATATCATCTCATGTGAACATATTCCATGCAACACGTATTGTGAGCCAGTAAGTGACAAACTTAAAACAATCAACCCCCCCCCCCAAATACCCATGTCCATGAAAAGTGGTTTGAACAATGAGTGGTATAAGCAAAAGACAGAGAGCAGAAATCCAGAGTCCAACTTCTAGCATATATACCAACTGTCCTTGAGCAACCTATTGCATGAAGCTTACCTGTGTAACTTACAGTATGCAGTTCACATTGGTAGGATTAGCTGGAAAATGTCTGCAGAGCACTTAATGGAGTGATATTTAATTATTAGGCATATTTGTTATAGTGTTTTAATTTATTCCACCTATAGCCTGCTTTTATTACTTGCCTTCCATTGGGTTGGAACACAGAAAGGCACAGAAAGGCAGAAGTCTAGAGTACAATTCAAAGCACAATCAATTAATGCATTAGTATGTTTTCATTTATTTCTCAAAAATGCATCTATGAAAGTACTTTCATTTTTGATTAATTTTAATATCTAGGGATATGAACGTCAACCAGTTAAAGGTGAATGTTGCGGAAAATGTGTGCAGACTAAGTGTGTTATACATACACCAAACATTCCTGACCTCATCTTGAGTGTAAGTATGCTCTACATCCTACGTCTCTACCAAATTTGTAAATCTCCCTTTCAAAGAGGGAGCATTTGCTTGTCAGAGATAAGGCTTAGTGTAAGTTTGCGCCTGAAAGGTCAGAGGCTCACCTAAAACAAAGCCTATCTACAATATTTTTGGCTGAAAGGAAGGAATAATGAAATAAAATTTTCTGGAAGGCTTTTCCTGGAATGACAAATCCAATACCATTAGAAGGGTTTTTCTTGTGATGTCTGTATCTGGAAGCTTGGGCTTCCAATATTACTTGACTTTTGTGTACCGAAAAGCACTAGTAAAGCCTGCATATGAAACAACTTTAATGACCATGTAGGGTGAAAGTTTAGGATTGTTCTTAACTAACATATAACAATTTAGCTTTCCCTAGGCAAAATCCATTGGCATGGATGATTTTGTTAATAAATCTAATGTACTCTCCATACTTTAGAGGGATCTTTCTTTTCCAAGGACAATCCCATGTAAAACTGAAAACCCTCTCCACATATGGCATACTGCAATACATGCAATAATCTGTATCTAAAATGGCCGTTAACATAAAAATAATTGACTGGGAAAAAAGATGAAAGTCATTGTCAGAGGACAGGAAAATTTCTGTTTGAGCTCCCTTCAGCTTTTCTTATTAAAATTTGTATTTTGCTTGCAGCCTGGAGAGTTTAAAAATGATCCTAACAACAACTGCACTATTTATAGCTGTGTAAATATCCACAATCAGTTTATCTCTTCCACGTCTGAGATTACCTGCCCACCATTCAATGAGGAGAGTTGCAAACCTGTAAGTAAATGCGGAAAACTTACCCTCTACTCAATGCCTAGATTGCTTCAGTTTAGTTCAGCCACCTGCCTGGCAACAGAAGTCAAGCTAAGTTCTGATGACCTTTCACCAAAGTTTCTTAGTCTCGAGGGCCAAAGTTTCTGCTGCATCCATGCACAGACCATCCATGCACAGCGTGTATAAAATAAGGTATCTGGGTGAGAGTTCAAGGCTTATAACTAGCAGCTGCCTCTGAATGTTACAGAAAAACCAGCTGTTCCCTCATTAGGCTGCTAGTAACACCGTGCATATTCCCCATTCAAATATAGAAGTCTCTGAGAAAACATTTTTTGGAATAGCTTCTGAGAAAAAATTGTGTGATGTTAACTATAGACTTCAAAACATTATCTTTATTTGCACAGTCCTTTCTAAATTGATAGGTTTCAAGTCTGGAAGATACCGTTATCTTTGTTTATTCAGATCAATGCTACAGGTTTTGCTGGTTATTTCCAGCCATTGAGGAATTGTTTTCCTCAGCTGTTGGCCGAGAAGGCTCTTTAATACAGGGAAAGGAAATAATCTTATTTTTCTTGTTTCTTTGTTCTTTTAGGGGACTATTACATTGTTACCTAATGGTTGTTGCAAAACCTGTAAGTATGCCAGTGTACTTGAATCAACAATACATAGAATTAATTTTCTTCTTAAATCAACCCATCTTCCAGCCATAGAGGCTGATATGTTTGTATTTAAATAAATACTTTTATATCTACGTTTGTTATTCTAAGCATTCACTGTCTAATCTCTCTGGCAAAGTTTAAACTGAAGCAGAAAGACCACTGAAGACGATTCTTTGAGTGCACTAGTGAAGCTCAGAGTGCTGAGCTGCAAAAATCTTCTGGAGCTATTTCACTGAAAGCTTTTTCTGAT